AAGCTCACGAAGAAGTGAGTCCGTCGAGTTTCGCCGACTACCAGCGACATGAGCCCTTAACAGATTCAATGAGCACGTGTCGGAACTCATCTGTTCGATCATAGAGTACGATGTGGTGGACAGCTTTGGTGAGCTCTTTCGCCTTCTGCTGTGTTGTGGTATCATGGCCTCAGGGCGCTGCGTCTGTCAACATCAACGCTCTCATGCTAATACTGACATCCTCATGAAGGCCTTCATGACACTCATTCACAACTGCCTACTCTACTGCAGTAGGGCTGGGAGGCATTATAATGAGCCTACACTCCTTACCTACAGGCTCCCATCATCAACAACTTCGTCAGCACTTAGCCATCAAGTCCAATATTATCCCAGATATCCTCTTGCCTTACATAGAGAACATCCTCCCAGGTACGCCGCTCAATGGAGGGTGGTGGTTTGTTCGACTTGTATTCAGTCTTCATGGAGGCCGACTCAAGCGTCGGCGTCAAGTCGATCGAGTGGGCTAATCTTACTTCGGCATTGCAGACGCTAGCCATCGCTACCTTCAACGTGAAGACCTTCCGCAAACCAGTATGTAGGGTAGTCGGTAACTTTCTCATCGTAGTGTGCTGTTGCACAGCGGAAGCCGACCCTCCCATCCTGTTAGTCAGTTACAACGTTCGGAGCTCCTCAGTCGTGTTGCAAGCCTGAAGCAGGTGAGTTTGTATTCTTACAATCTTCTCTGTTGAGGTTGTTCTGCAGTTGAAAGAAGCTCCTGTGACGCTTGTCATCCTGATGAAGGTCGCGATAAACTGCAACTATGGCGCATCACAGCACTGGGATGCGTTCGCTGAGGCTAGTCGAGCCGCTTATGATGGAATGGACGAGACCTCAGTTAGTGAATTGGTCACCACTACGTTCATCTCGCATCTTTGGTGGCAGCGCGAGCGCGTAAAACGACGAGTGCAAGTCGGGTCGGACGCTCTTCCTGTTAACCCAAGCTGCGATACTATGCTTATGGTCTATTCTCTACTTGAAGTTGAGGTCAGCTACACAACGGGCTTATATTTCTGTTAGGCCATCATGAAGTCATCAAAGGCGGGGGATCTGCTGGAGAGCAACTGTTGAAATTCCGGAAACCCACTGATAATTAAAAACTCGTGAACTCCCCTCTCCTAATTAGCACATTTTACATCTATAATAAATTTCGAAACGGCTTCTAGTATGCCATAGAATGACAGAACGACGCTTGAATATCAAACACTGCTTAGAGAAACATGGTGCTGGAGATCATCTCTCAAGTGTAAAACAATGTGCAGGCAGTAGATGCTCGTGCACAGTTAATTGAGTTCGAGTCGACATACCCTCTGTTTATCATTCAGCCCATCGACTGGGATGTTCCTGAGGACCAGGCTCGTGATGGTCAGAAAGGTAAGGGTGCATGGTTGATCAAGGTCCGACGCCCGCGTGGCGACTACAAGTAAGCATATGTTGAGGGCCCTGGTTTATGAAGTAGTTGTGAAGGTCGCGGAGGAGGAATCGGCGCCGATGGAAGCGCGGGAATCCATTCAAGCGAGTGAGCCGAGTACCGGACATGGATGATATGGATGATGAGGAGTAAGGTCGTGATGTAGCCTCTAGACTTGATCACGACTCTGCGTTGAGCGATAGGGGTCTTTGTGTTTTCAGGGAAGGCCAGCAGGCAGGAGCTCAGCAGGATGCCACACGACCTGATGAAGGAGGTGATGGTGAACAGGCCATGATGTGAGACTGAATGGGACGTCTTGGGGACCAATTATTGTGGTCGTCACCACGACAAGATACTGCGCGTTAACAGGCTGCCTTATGAGAGATCCCGTGAAGACTCCGCAAGGTGTATTTTATGAACGTGCAGCTATAACAGTGAGAAGATGCTCGTGTATGATACTCGCATTAAGTGCGCAGGACTGGTTGGACTCGGGTAACTCCACATGCCCTGTGGATGGTCAGCCACTGACAGTATCACAACTGGTTGGAGCTCCGGAGGTGTTGGAGGCCATAGTGGGGTAGCTGATCTCTGTTCAAGCGTCAGTTATGATGCCCTCCTGTAGATGCCAGGCAGAGGCCCTCGCTGACTTCGCTAAAGAGGAGGATGAAGGAGCCCCGAAGGCCACCACCGAGTAGGTGCTGATTGATCATCATATTATATTGTGTGGATTTTAGGATCAATCAGGAGGAGACGCTTGAGGAGACCAATCACAGCCTTTTGGGGGACCTTCCAGAGATCCGCAAGGAGAAACAAGGTGCAGTAGCCCCTCTGGCGCCGGATGGATATTGGATATTCCTCAGGAAGCCCGACGAGCCCGAGCAAGCCTAAGCACGCCGTGCGGATTCGGCGTACGAGTCAGATGCTGGTCAACGCCCCAGCCGAGCTGAAGTGTGCTCTCGATGGAAAAATAATGACCAACCCCATAAGGTACGATTCACGCTGTTAAGATGATGCATCATGCAAAGAACCCTGCCGACTTGTTGTTGCTTTTATCGCTTCGGAGTTCAGTCGTACCGTCGCTGAGCCGCTCGTTCTCAGCATCGTATTCGATACTAGCGGCCGTGGTTGACTACAATTTCAGGTCACCCTATGGCCACGTTTTCGAGAAGAAAACTCTCGAAAAGTGGTTTGACTCGTGTGGTGAGGTATGTCCCATCACAGAGAAAGCACTGAGCATAGATGACTGCCAGTAGGCCACGAATGGAGACTGTTGAGTACTGTTGTTGCTCGGCAGAACTGCACACGATATTAAGAAGGCCATAGTTCGTTATGTGAAGGAGAAGGAAGAGGCTAATCTACAAAACGTGGCATGATGATGTATGCAAGCTGATCGTCTCTGTCGCTCGCAGTTGTGTTCACAATGGGAAGGGAGAATATCCCCAATGGGGATTCCCCATGACCCTCTTTGCGTGCTGATGCTATCAGACAGTGTAACGATGCCCAAGCCCAGAAAGCCATGAATGAGAACTCCTTGAGAACAGCGCTGCGCGATCCTTCCATACCGCGTATCAGATCTCAGGCAGATGCTCCCGATGTCTGCCTTGAAGCGTGATCAGTTGAATTAGGGGTAACAACAAAAATGTGAAAACACCCACTTCGGACTGTTGGACTGGACTGGAAGCAGGTAACGGTATTGTAGTCGATATAGAGTTAGTTATTTAACACAGCTAATGTGGATTGAGTAAGGCCTGATTCCTTTCTGTGTGACCTCTCCTGATCTTCATTCGTCGTTTCTGTTGCGTTCTGCAGTGCACAGTCTTCATCATAGCACATTGTTTTACCCGGTTAACCTTTTCCTTGGGAAAGCGAACCATTCTGCTCAGCTTTTCGCCCTATACGATGCTGCATCATCGTTTGCCATCATCATGATGGAGAATTGTATCAACAGCAACTAAACTCAATCGATTCCAGAAACATCTCAATTTTCGCATTTGACACTACTGTAACAGTCGTTTGGTGAGCTCACCTCGGAGAGAGTTTTAGCCTGGAAGAACAGCATTTGGCTGTTCTGCAAGCGCATTGAGCACGAGTGGCTCGCACATCCTCTCAGCTGAATGGCAGCACTTCAACACCTCCATCAATCTCAAAACTTGCTCAGGGTCCAAGGCATGGACCCGTTTGGCCACATGAACCACTAAAGGCCGTAGACGCTCTGAATCGTCCAGGGCAACGTAATTTCGTAGATTCACGAGGCCCTCAACTGCATTCAAGGCAGGGCTTAGCCGGAGCTGAGAATACTTCCAGATCAACTCTGCGCTTAACCGTTCAATTATATGCACCGTTGCATTGAACTCTGGAATGATCTCTTCGAGACGCCATAGAGCGACCGCAATAGACGCCAACTGCTCAGCAGCGAACTGCTGTGTCCGAGCGGAGATGTAGTCCACTGCATTCTCCAGAAACCTCTCTGGAACAATATCGGGACAGATTCGCAATAGCTTGACGGTGAGGGCGAGGAGACGGCACACATCAGTAGGGTTTGCGCCGCCTTGTAGTCGACTCCCTAATAGGTCAAGTTGTTCCGCAACCACAGGAGCATGGCGCCTCAGTACACCAGCTCTTAGAAGGCTGACGAGTCCTTGGCAGACAGACACTACTGGTACGTTAACAACATTTTCACATGCACATCCCAATATCATATGAGTCAGACTCTCGTCCTCTTTCAGGGACTCCGGGAGGGAGAAGCTTAGGGCTTCCAAGTAACGCCAAGCACCCTCACTATCATCCATAGGGAGCTCTGCTTGGAAGAGGCCCTCGGTGATACCCTCGGCCAACTCACGAACCTCCGTCTCGGCACCGATCTTCTGTAGAGCTAGCAGCAACGTAGCGCACTGTCCTAGTGTGAATGCTGGCAACAGTGCGAGGGCACGTAGAGTGATAGAGCTACAGATAGAGAGAGGTGGTTGGTCTAGCCCAGTAAGACACTCTAGGATCTCATCGGGAGTCCTCAAGGCCGTAACATCGACGGACTCCTTATTAGCTACGCCCCGAATGAAAGTGCCTCGGCGAATATGTGAGACCAACAATGGACCAACATAACGTATTCGCAACATTACGGGAGCTGCTAAAAAAGGAACTAACCGCAGAAGCGGGTGTATGAGGTCTACAGTACACGAAAGTGTCACAAACTCCCTCTTTTTGGAATAATTCTCAGTGAGCTTCAGAGATGAAACTGTGCGACGAAGTGAGCTTGGAGTACAGCAGATGAGTAGGACCATCGCAGTTTGGATTATGGTGCTCGAGTGGAGGACCAGCAGTTGGTTATGGTCGTGATAAGAGGGCTCAAGGCACAGGTTCGATCCCCGCACCTGATGCTTTTAACTCACATTCTCCGAGAAGGACCAAATTATAAACGATTATCGAACTCAAGTCAATGGTTAATGGAAATCTAGAGATTCTACCGACAATCATACTCGCACAATCATCAACGAGTGCAAGCTGAAGTTGAGCTTAGACTAGGTTGCGCAGGGTGCACAACTACACGAGTAGAACAGGAAGTAGCATGAGAGCATTATAATAGCAATAGTGCAACGGTTTATAATCAATTTCACATCCACACGAGCGGTTGGCAGGAACATGTCCGACCTTCTTCGTATCTCGCGGGGCATTCCGGAGGATCTCCCATCAGTAGAGCCTCCGTCGCTTGTCCCGGTGTTAGAGCAGAAACATCAACACCGAATTCGGCAGCCTTTTGGGCGAGTAACTTCTCTCTTTGCCTCCTCATGGACCCCCGACTGGCTTCATGACACTCCTTATCGAATGCAACATGATCAGGAGACCGGTGCCGATCAAATAATTCGTAATTAAAATGACAACTACGACTCTGGTCATACCACTCACACCTCTGGCCTTTTCTCCACATACTGTCAAGGCCTATATATTCAGGCCAACTACATAGAGCACACCAGTAGTCATTCCCTGCTCTATCGAAGGGATTCAATTCGACCTCGAGACTTTCGCAATCGGTCGGGCTCTCCTGACAGTACTTGTCGAAGGACTTCCCAACATGCGATAAACCGTCCTCAAGCGGTCGAGGCAGAGGAAAGCCTTCTTCCACTTTATCAACAGCTTTTTCGATAATATACTGTACCGCTTCCGGCTGAAATTCACCGTAAATGTTCCACAACCTGGGTGGGTAGAACATAGCGCCGAGGTAGGGAGCGCCAGTAGAGAATTGTACGTCCCTATAAGAAGCCTGGACTCGAGCCGGATCGCCTAGCGACTCCAACTCGCCGAGATTCACAACCACCCCGCCAGGCTTGATCATGTGAGCTCGCGTTATACCGGTACCAACACCACTGATATAAACGTCCGAATCAGCGAAGATCCTCAACTGCTCTTGGAAGGAATAATCCTCCCACTTCAAGAATACTATGTCGCATTTTCCCGAACGTTTGATAGTGTCCAGAATCTTCTGGAACATAGCTCGGTCATCTTGAGTAAACCTCTTATTGTCCGTCAGCACGCCGCGGCACCCCCCAATCGCCCGGTCCGGTATCAACCGAGCATGAGCAGACATGAAGCCAGTCCACGGCACGATGCCATAGCTGGCCTTGAGCCGCTGAGTGAAGTAGTAGAGGGAGTTCTCGAAACTGTATGAGCCCGGTAAAGTTCCTCTCAAATTCAACGACCGATGAGCCATCTTTCGAGAGCCCATAATCACGCGCTGAAATTGATATATTTTTGACGCCATCTTCCCCAACTGGTAGTAATCCCCCCCGAAAAACGTCGGGATGATCTCGTCGGCCAATAAGACTTCTCCACGCTGGTGCTTTTCGTTATACACGATCCTCAACGCCGCATTAGCGCGCGCCCGAGCAAAACCAAAGCGTAACATTGAGATGAATAGAGGAAATATACCATCGTATAACAAATGACCAGTGTTGTGCATATAGAGGGAAAAGCCATAGACAGTGAGGCCTTCAATATACTCCGGCACTTCACCGTAAGATGAGGCCAGAAATTCTCGCGCCTCGTCGGAGCTGTGAAAGATGTGTATAATTGGGGAGAAACTATCTCCTGTTGGGATGAAAGGAACATCACCCATAAAGAAATCACTGCAATTCGCGAGTACTTCCATAACAGAATCACGAGTAAGCTCTCCATGGCGTAGCAGCGACGTTGCGTCCGTATCTGGGTCCACCGGCCGGCCCAGATAAGGAGCCCTTCGCACTACGGAGGAGGATAGTAAAAGAATATGAAACTTCTCATCTTCAGGAGAATAATAGAAATTGTCGATGATACACGACCGATTGAGAGGACTCCCTGTGCACTGTATGGCAGTCCATAGGAAGTCAGATCTCTCCCTCCTGTCACTTTCGGTGACTATGAAGTCGATGCTCTCTGGTCGACCACTGAGGGGATCTACCAAATTTCCGACAGTAACGTAATTAGGAAGCTCATCTTGGCTCATCCGCTGACCATAGGGTTCCGCTTGCGGAAGAGGTCGCGGTGAAAATCGTAGGAAGAAGGGCGAGCGCAACCGAGGAGTGGACCCGGGGAGAAGACGTAACAACAGAAACGGAATTAATAAAAGAGTTACCAGCGCCGTTGCACAGATCAGCGGTGTTACTCCATAATTGATCGCCTTCCCTTGGTGTTTCCCCTGAAGACTCCTTCTCTTCTTGAGCATCCATTTAGGAGCGATTGACAAGATAAAGGACAAGGACATCGACATGACCAACTGCAGGGATTGAACCAGATACCTACGGCTCGACAGGCAGCGACATTAACGACTAGACCAATCAGACGATCCAAAACTAGAAGAGCGCAACACACTCCAGTTGAGGAAACAGTGATGCCCTTCTGTCACGTGGTGCTGCTTTTACTGTCATTTCTGTGTGAGCCACCAGAGCACTTCGACCCTCTACTCCTCATTGGTCTTGGCGAACGCACTCTCGTCAACTGAGGAAAAATAACATATCTGTTCGCTTTTCTCAGCTTAGCTCAGAAGTTTCCTTTATCTTTTTTTTCAACGTACACAGTAGTTTGGGTACAAGTATACAGAAACCAACAAGAATTTCCTGAAAATTTCCATCTTGTCACTTAGTTGACCATGTGCATATTTTTCCACACAGCAGGTCCATTCCCATAGGCAATTCGAGAAGCCGCCTTTAGCCCTTTAATACCAGCTATACCAGCCTACTTACTCTCAGCATCTCCCATGCCCTCATCCTCCTCCTCAGAGTCGCTACTCTCAGATTCCGACTACAGTGGAAGAAAATTTTATGCAACTTTAACAGCTGCAATTAATTATCGCACCTCTTCCTCCTCTTCCCGTTTCTGCTTAGCCAGCTCCTCCTCGTCGAGCCCAACGAGCTCAGGCCTAAACCTCCAACCTACACCCCCTCCTCCTGAGCGGCCGCATATTACGCTTGCTTCAACGCGAACGTGCCGCCCTCCTTCTCAATAGACTCTTTGATAGCTTCTATGCAGGCACCGATTCGCTCGAAGCCCACGTCCTGAGCAGCTCCATCACAGCGAGATGATCATAAGATTCGTATTACTCTCAGTGAACAAGTAGTGACAATGTAGTACTGTGGAGGCGCTATCAGCTTCACCGTTGTAGTGGCCTTCAAAGAATCGTCATCGTTAACCTTACGAGCTCTCAATCACTTCCATCAAGCGTTCCCATACCACTCCACCTTCGAATTATCGTTCGCTACTGTTCGTCCTGCAATGAGTGCCCTTTGGATAGCTTCGATTCCCTCGTAGTCGAAGCATGATACCTACAGCCAACCAGCAAACGTTGATTGATACAGGGAAGAGCATCGAGTTGGTATAATACAATGGTGAAACGCGAGATCCTCGTCATTCGAGGACTTCCCCGTAGTATTACCTCCACCTTGGCCTTAACTCTCAGCTGATGGGGTGCCATTCGCCGAGTGACTACGTTGAGGAGAGTATCCCGTATCTCGGGAGTAATGTCGAGACTGTCGAGAATGCTCAAGTCGGCGTTATCACTGACAAGGACCCCATCTAACGAGAGTTACTATTATTATTATTACTACCCGACAAGTTTGGAGAGGCCGTCATAGGCGTGGCCAAAGGTGTCGTAAAGCGGCCAAGCTATCTTAGAGCACACCTCTTCCAAGGACATCCTATGAGTTGATGCTATATGCCTCATGATGGACTGTACCGTCTTGGCTTTCGAATATCTGATACTAGTAATTACCATTTTTAGGATGATATTGGTATTACTTCTGATCGAGAGCATCGGCATCCTCCCGAGACACACGCTTTTTGGAGAGGTCGATGTAGCCCTTCTCCTTGTCAACTCGAAGGACCATGAAAGTGTCGTAGCTGTTGGAGAGTAAAGGGAATACTATCGATGGGAACTTACCGTCCAACTTTGATGAGTTTAGGGATGGACCTAATACGCCTCTTGGAGAGCTCAGAGAGCTGGACCATTCCTTCCATATCGTCGTATTCACAAAGGGAGACGTATGCGGCCACATCTGTTACTTGTTTGACGAGAGCCTAACATGGAAAGATATGAAAAGATACAAAGTAGGTCCGATTTGGTACTACCACGACGCACTGATCAATCTCGGGGAATTGTTCCCGGTAGAATCGGCAATGGAGATGGGCGGCTTCGGAGCTCATAAGGAAACGTGGTGGTTCAAGCAGTAACCAAAGAAAAGGAAACTATCGCACATGGTCTCGCAGCTGACCTATTCCGTATCTTGCATGCTCCAACCTAAGATTCCTAAGCTTTCCGGGACGAGTCCAGATCCAATTCCTCAGCACGATGACCATATCTGCCGAATAAGCATTCCAACCCACAGACGGGTTCCAGCCCGCCTCGAGGGGATTCGACTTCAACGTTGGCGTTTGTGCGCGCGCCACAAAATTCAGCAGTCCCAGCCGCCGCAAATTCATATTTAACCCTTCAGAATATGAATTTTGTTCGCAGGGCGTGCACGGAAAAGTTGACAATGAAGGAAAAAATCTCAACGAGAATAGGAAAAATGTTGACGAGCAGGAGCATATCCCGCTTAGTACGCGTCTCTTGTTGGAATCAATGAATTTGATGTCCCCGGTTCGATCCCCGGGTTGGACAGGTTTCCGTCAAGAAAGATTTCGTGCATATCTCTTTGGGCTCTCCTCAAAATCGAGTTGTTTGATTTTTGGGCAAACCGGCATATATAGAGGTCGTTAGATCCATCTGGGGCCGTATGCGGATCCTGATGCAACAGGTGAGTCAGAGTATTTACTCAGATAAAAAAATCAGATGGTGAGTATTAACCCCTGATTCGCTGATTTTTTACTCTGGATGGAGAAATCAGGATCATCGCGATCAAAGCCGAGGTTCTATCCCCCGGCACGGTCATTCTAAGCACCTAAGCAGCAGAGGAGGTTTACCGTGACGCGCGCTGAAGTCGTGAATCAAGGTCGAGAATCAGAATCAGGGGTTGGTACCGGGGGTCCGGACCCCCGGTACGAATCAAGGCAAAATAACGTGGAAAAATGGAGATACTCACGGCGTGAGTATGATTCGGAATCACACGCTGAGTAAAAATCAGATTGTGAATCTTTGGCGTTCTCGAGTTGAGTAAAATACTCACGAGTATGAGTTTTGAATCACAATCACGTTGAAAAAATCTAGAATCATGATTCTTACTCACTGGGTTGAGTAAATACTCTGACTCATTGGTTCACAATCAGAATCAATGGCTGAGTATGATTCTGAATCAGGAATCATGATTCTGAATCAAGAATCGAAATCAACGCTTGAGAGAAATCAGGAATCAGGAATCGTACTCGCGAATCCTGAATCTGAATCTGGAATCAGTAATCATACTCACGAATCATGAATCTTACTCATGAATACGGAATCTGAATCAACACTTGTGAATCATGGTGTGAGTTGAATCAAAATCGGAAATCAGATAGTGAGTTGAATCAGTGCCTGTGATTCTCGAATCAGTATCCGCATACCGCCCCTGGTGGTCTCCTACACTCCGTAGTTACGAGTCAGAACAAATCTGCACGCACGCACAACGCGAGAGTGTCTGTTGTTGCGGTATATACTTCGCTCGCTCCGCAAACCTTGACGTTAATATTGAAGATTGAATTTCCAGTATTCATATTATTCGTACCATAAACTACCAAAACTAGTAGTTGTTTTCTTACATATCCTCCTGAGAAGAGTAATGTCCAACAAGATTACTGAAATCCGTGCAGGAATGACGTGTAAGTATCTTAGGTTCCACTATGGTATGATACAGAACAGGCCCATTGTGAGCAGGTTCTGGTTGCTCTGGAGCTATCACTCGCATCCTCTCCAAGACGAACGGCGTTGAAAGCATTGAATGTGATGTTGACAAGAAGCAAGTACTGGTCCATCACAGTGATGCTGTCACCGCAGATCAACTCGTGGAGAAACTTAAAAACTGGGTATGTATGGATTTAGCGCCTATGGTAGTTCGACGACTTCTCTTCAGGCTTCTGCTAGTGGCCGTGAGCTATCACTTGTTGGAACTCGGGATGCGTGATAACTACAAATGCGAAAGTCCCTAAGTTTTCTCATCTACATAGCGTTTGTGTTACTAGAGGGATATTCCTTGGCTTAGTCCTTCCATTGGTTTGTATGAGGGCAGTATTAGAAAATAGACTTTCTTTTCTGATAGCATTGCACTGATTGTTATCCGATTTTGTGTATCACCGAAGTTGTCGGTAAATTTTTTATAGAGGAAGTTCGACGACTTTGCTCTTAATTTTCATTGTTGCGGGATTCCTTCAGCTGTGGTACATGAGCGTATGTGCCGGGTCCACTACTCTACCATGGCCAGCTAAATCCCACACACTTCCTCCTACTGCTGAGGCCTGGCTGGGTATGGATACACTACAAAAGGAGTTCAAGCGGCAGATTGAAGGAGTTTGGAGCACCATTGGTCTCAGTGATGAGGAGGTAGTAGTAGTAGTAGTAGTAGTAGTAGTAGTAGTAGTAGTAGTAGTAGTAGTAGTAGTAGTAGTAGTAGTAGTAGTAGTGGTAGTAGTAGTAGTAGTAGTAGTAGTAGTAGTAGTGATTAGAATAACTAGTTCTAGTGGGGTTGTTGTCTGCTCCTCTGTGCATGAGATTCCACGTAAACAAGTGAGTGTGAAATCACAGCACAATGGTGGTATCAAGTATTAGACGATAATTAGTACCGTAAATCGGCCAAATCATCTTCCTCAGCGGAACAAGAGAATGTCGACTCTTGGAGAGTACTTCAGAGAGGTCTACGGCAATGTTGTTAAGAAGGAGAAGGAGTGCCTGGATGCTCTCGAGAGGAGTGTTGAAGATATGCGCAAGGAAATAACGGTAATAGAGCGGACATAGGATGCCCTGGAAAAGTGTACTGGGAGAGCAGTGTGGTGAAATATACACATTGCCAACCATATTTGTTGGTACGAAAATTATGAGGAAATTTTGGGAAATATTCAACTGATTTTTGTTCCACTTCCCACTCGTATCCGTATATGAAATTCTATAAGTAAGGAAACTCCTAACACCGTTGAGGAAAACCAAGCGTGTATATTCCCACACTGTGGGAGGGACTTGAGATGCGTTTGGTGATGCCGATTTATTACGTTGATTTGGAAAGGTCAAATTGAAATCGACAATTTCGATCAACTAGGACTTATATTGGATTTCAGGTGTATGTGAAAATAAGGAATGTAAATGTCGTTATTTATAAGAAGCCAATTGAGTGGTTCGCCTCTATGGTTCGCAATCGGGCTAGATGTGTATCTTTTATCATCGACCTCGAAGTATCTTATCTCAGTCCTTATCATTGGAGCTCGAGGAAGAGGTGCCCTTGGATGAGCATGTATTTGCCAAAGGTGTTCCGCTCCGTCGGCAGGAGGCGGCTCTATTGCCGAGTAAAGCATTTGGGGGGAATATATGTTTGCTTCCCTCAGCTGGACTCAGGAATTGATAAGAATTTTCCGAAATTTCCTCTCGGAATTTTCATATTGTCACCAACACATGTAGTTGACCATGTGCATGTCCCCCTCACTGGAAGGTTCAAAGCGGCTTTTATTTTTGTTCTGCTATCTCGTGTAAAGTGTTAATTTACGTTTGAACGATTTGGGAAAGGTGTGGTATGACTGCTTTTTCCTACCAGTTTACAACAGCCTGACGAAGCTCCACGAGGAGCGTCTTCCATCGCTCCGCCGACAATATGAGGATATTTTAGCAGCTCGCGAGCAACTTGGCATGCGGCCTCTTCCATCAGCACCTAAGTGGGCTCGCCTTTGCGTGGTTGGTTTTGGAAACTGATTGAACGTATAATAATTCGGTCGTTATTGGGACAGTGTTTGTGTGAGTCTACAGTCCAACGCCTCCTGCGACAACAACACGGCCTAGTTAGACTCTTAGCATCGATGCACATTAGCTCCCGAGGGAACATAGCCTTTCAAATTGTCTACTCTCATAATGCCCATGAGCTTTGTCCACAGGGCGAGATAGCCTTAGCCTATGTACTTCTTTTACAGTTTGAGGAGTATATACTTGCTGTCTTACTGATTACAGGAGTTTATATACGAAATCGGATGGAAGCGTACAGAAAGCAACAATAATTTTCCCGAAATCTCCTCAGAATTTTCGTATGGCTACCAACGCATGTAATTGACCATGTGCATATCTCCTCGGGTAGTGTTGATTTTAACGCCTGAGCTCGAGGAGATTGAGCGTATAATAATTTTGTCATTCATGTGGACAATTTGGGAATATATGTTTGCTGTTCTCAGCTGAGTCTAAGAGTTTATATACAAATTCGTATAGAAGTGTACAGAAATTAACAAGAATCTTATAAATTTTCCCTATCGTATTTGCATATTTTCCATATCGTTGCGTGTAGGTCTGTGTCGCGAACAGAAGTTGAAGCGATGGGAGAAATGCACAAGGAAACTATGGAGTTCGCAGAGGAAAGGCTTGCCTTAGTAAACTGTAGAAAGGGCTTGAACCTAGGGAGTTGGCGAATTGGACAGGTTCATGAAACGGTTGAGGAGCTGCAGCAGTTGGTGGAGGAAGCCTTTGGGGGGGAGTGGCCTTTGATAGTAAAGAGGGAGGGAGAGGAAAAGTTGAAGTAAGAGAGGTAACTTTTTTATAGATCGACTTTTTGAAAATTTGAAATGTAAGGATCTTACTCAATAAGAGAATTTATTATAGTAGAAACTTATTATAACTTCTTAATAAGTTTCCACTCGTGATATGAATAACACTAGTGAAAAACATATTTCTCAAACCACTGAGTAGCGCGAGTATCGGGGTTTTAATAGAACATTACGCAGGACGTGTCGCGTGAAACTCCATTGCATAGAAGCTACCTGCAATCGTTTCGTGGTACTTTCTTGCATGGGTACGATCCCGGTATTAAATCTGCGGGATTGATTTTCGTGGTGCGTGACGCCGCTTCCTATGGTAGATGTGATCCTTGTGTGCCTGAGGGGTTGGCTGATAGCCATGCTTCATTGAGTGCTGCATTAGTGGATATGGAGGCTGCAGGGGCTCCTGAGCTGAGGTGAGGAGTTGCGAAATTGTTGGTATTGGAGAGGGAATGTGTAGGTGCCTGAAGGACGTGGCAACGTGTAAGGTGGTGAGAGTAGAGTTCAAGTCATATGTGGAGGAGGTGCGGTATGGGCCATACGCATTTTGAGATCTCAGTGTTGGGGGAATATGTGTTCGCTTACCTCGACTGAGCTCAGGAGGCTTTGTAATCGAGAAACCAATGAAAATTTTCTCAGAATTTTCATGTTGTCACTTACACGCGTAGTTGACTATGTGCATATCCTTGCACACTAGGAAAAGATAGTACAGTTTAGATTTGGGATTTTGTTGTGGAGAGGTTAGGGCTTAGGGGTGTTATTATCATTATAACTCAGTTGTTGAAGTATTGCAACGAAGCAGCGGATGCACGCACGGAGGAAGCGGCGAGAGTGTACCGGAAGATCCGACGTCTCCTGCGAGAGTTGGAAGTGTCCGGGGGTGAAGTCGGTCTCCCGGGGGAGGAGGATGATATTACTTTGGATAGGTAGGTGCGTGGAAAGGGCAGAAACGGTCTTGTGAAGCTGTGGTTTTCACGGTTGGTGGGGTATTGCATGAATATATATTGATCCATGGGAATCAGTGAATACCGAGGCACTTCTCTTATGTGGAGTAGAGTAGACGGGTTCGACGATGTGGCGAAGGTGTGGTATTAATATTTTGTTTAGTGAAGGCCTAGGCAAGCTGCATGCAATACTAGCCTCGCTTATAGAGACTCGCCATGATCGATTATTGGAGCTCATTGATAGTAAGAGGACGCAGATTAGGGAAGCGGTGGAGGAGATGAGGGTAAAAGTTGATACAGGGTGGTTCGTATAAGGAGGCTTGTCGTGGGGGGGGCAAATTCATAAATTTCATTTACGAATTTGAACTTTCATTTTCAACCGGTCTACGAAAATCGAACTTTCATTTCGAATTTGAACTTTCATTTCACGAAAAACATCTTTCACTTGTCGAAAATCAAATTTCATTCACCTAATTTGTTCTTTCAATTGTTGAATTTGAGATTGAAAAGGTGTAGATATGCATACCTCTGTGGTTCGCACTCTAGATGTCACGAGTCGAACGGAAGTCACTTCGGTTGGATGCCCTCATGACGTTGGAGATTGGTGGTCTGACCAACGAAGAGGTGGAGCTCCACGGCACTGTGTGTGAGTTGTTAACGGTGAGTGTTGTAGCGTTGAGGAAATGCAAGATTTTGCAAGAGTGGTTAGGAAAGGGTGGCAGCGGTACGGCCGATCATGAGGTTGTTGGGTCGAATGGAGCAGCTGTTTGGTGTTAAAGTGGAGTTACAAGAATCCTCGAAAGACCCTGAAAGGCTCATGGCTAGAGCTTCTCTGTAAATCGATCACGCGATCGATTTGGGAGCGATGGGTTGGGTTTAGGTCGTCAAACGGGAGGCGTAGTTCAACGAGTTCGTCTGTGGGAGGTAAGCGAGCTTCTACTCACCGGACTCGAGATCCGGGCCGGCTCTTGCGAGAGGAGAAGATGAGGAATATGGTCGTCAAGGTGGGTTGAGGCTTGATGGGCATCTTGTACCACTCTAGTGATGAAATTGGTATTTGCTCAAAATTTGGTAAATTATGGGTGTTGGTGCTAAATTGCCACCAACACTCATAATTCACCTAATTCAAACCTGCCTGAATTTTCATATTACTAATATGGAAATTCAGGCAGGTTTGAGAAGGTTTTATTGGTTTCTGTATTCTTGTATCTGAGTTCGTGAGCAAACTTGTATAATCAACTTTGGAAACTCCTTAGCTCAGCTGAGGAAAGCGAACATCCTTCCTCCAACACTGGTGAAGGAGTGTTAAGGAAAGCGAAGTATTGGTTGTGTAGGAGCTACCGATGGTCCAACAGAAGCTGCGTAACAGGCTGCGGGATTTCGAGGAGACGTTTGAGATCCCCCTATTGATGAACGGCTCTACATCAGAGGAGTTGGAGCGGGTAAGTATGATTTGTCGTAATCGGTAGTATGTTGGGCTTTCTTGGTCAAGGTTGCGGGTTCGATTCCAGATTGGACATTTTTTTTGCATTTTTATTACTGTTGTTATCATAGGTCGGCCGTGGAGGCGCGTTGGACTATGCGGTCTCGGTGGCGGTGGAGCTTGCTATTTCCCGAGGTCAATTCCCGACATCTTCAGAGGCACACAAGGAGAGTCGAAGGATTATTGATGAGGCTAGGGTAAGAGGGAGGAGGTTGTGGGTTCGATCCCGGCACCTGACAATATAACAGGTACGAATGACATCGATGTACGAGTCGTTGATCTCTGCGGAGCTGCTGGGGATGTCGGAGAGTCCAAGTCCAACACCGAGCGATTCGAACTCTTCGAATTCAGACGGAGTTGGTCGAGGCTTGACCGCGCGCCCGGAAATTGTGCCAGCTCAGGTTGGGGAGTTTGATGATGCTGAGATTGAAAACGAGGCTCCGCCAGAGTCGTTCCTCCGCCTCGAGACGACCCCGTTATCGTCTAGGAGCCCTGATTCCCAGGGTCAGTGGGGAGAGATCCTCAGCCCCTCCAAAGTGATCACTCCACTGTATGGTGGTCATAGCAATACGGGGCCAACACCGGGGGGACCGGGCATCTCACTCCTGGACGCATCGTCCTTGGGGGACTTTAGCTCACCCACAGTGGAAGAGATGAAGAGTGAGGAAGAGTTTCGCGCGCCATGGAATCAGTACTGGGATTTGCTCAGGCTCGTCGCGGAGAACATATACGGCATCGGATTTCAGAGAAGATTCTGGGTGGGTCGGCTGAGGTACTTTAGTCTCAATTCGTTGTGACAGGTCGTCTGAGGATGTCACCTTTCACTCCCCGATGGACTACTCCCGCTCGCCAGGGCTTCAACAACAAGGCGGCCCGGCTAGGTTGTCGCTACGGGAGCAGCGGGAACGGTTGAAGGCATCGAAAAGCACTAGAGGGTTGGATGAGGTGGGTTGCTGTTTGTGCATGCGTGCAAGAATCTTGTGTTGTTGTCTCCCAGCTGCGAGCGTCGTTGGAAGGTCCCCTGGCTGAGGTGTTGAGGGGATCTTAGTAACTCATGTCGAATTCGGTTGATGAGTATTCATTATTGGCACGCCTTGCATTAGCACGCATGCACACCTTTCTACCACTGATTGTTGAGTTCCATCAGAGATTCAACTTAGTCGTTTGCAATGTCGATCGACTTCAAATTGTAGTAGGTGCATGGCTGTAGTATTTCTCGCTTCTATTGCGAGGTGGTTATTGTACGTTTGGAAATGAGGCTGCTGCTCTTTTCGAGGCCATGCCTGGCGGAGTGGAATGGTATCTCTGGAGGCTCACAATTGTCTTCGGCCGGTCCTCGAATGTACAAGAATAGGAGGACGAAAGGGCAGCAGTCTGTGAGAGGCTTGAAGCGGATGTAGCGGAGCGAAGCGGCGTGATTTTAGGCGGCAACGGTACTCTCACGTTTGATACCCCAGGCTGAGGGCAATATCGGACCCACTACGCCTGAGATGGAGATGCAGGCGGCAGCGGTCGAACGACGGTATGGATCGACCCGGGTTCGATCCCGGCACCTGGCGTTATAGTTGTATTCTTCAGGAGCCGCATCAAGCCGACGATACTGCCCGGGATGGACCGTCCTCGGCGACGAAAGGCGGGAGTGCGGACGTTTGTCGAAGATAAACTCCTCTGTAATGAAACTGTACGGAGGTTTTTGCCGAAAGGTAAGTAGAGTGGACTATCTACCATATGGAGGATAGAAAAATAACTATCTATATTTATAGATATTTATATAGAACATAATGGTAGATTATTAAAATATCATTCATGATTTTCCATTACAATGAGCGGAGCGAAGCAAGCATGGTTCTATCATAGAAGTTCAACTTCTATGTAGGTGCCCACAGATCGTACCGGGACGAGGGGGTCGAAGGCTTTGTTTGGTGGTGTTACGTCCTCACGCTCAGCGTCATGTTCTATTACAAATACAAAATATGGAAGCGCGACCCAGAGCACGCCAGTAGTGGTTACTGTCGATATAATGGCGACTAGCTCGTGGTGTGGTATCAGGAGTTCGAAAGGAAGCATGGCAGAGTTATTATGATCACGTACAAGATGAAGATGCTGATCTGAGCGTGGTGAGATCAGTTGCCGCTTTAACGGTATCATTATTGTTCGCAGGCCCCAACGACAGCGCCTGAATTGGCACCAGCCACTGGTAGCATTTCCATTGACTCGACGGCTAACAGTGCGATGGAGGAGGACGAGGCGGCTGCAGTGGCTTCCAACAGGAAGGTGTGAACACTCCAATTGTGATACAACATGTGGATCGTTTCTGAATGCTCTACTTGGGGTTGTGTTAGCTAGTAGGGGATTCACTCAAGTTGAACCTGTTGATGGCTGTTCCCGCTCTCGGTAATTCGGAGGAATTCGATGCCTTCCTGAAGGCTGCGAGATACGGTGATGTCGAGGAAGTACTCAAACTGTTGGAAGGTCACCCTGAGCTTGTACGACCCTTCCGAGTCTGAACCTCTCTGGATGTTGTTCGTTGTACAGGTGGAAGAGTCGGATGCGTTCACGAAGAGCACAGCGATGCTGCTAGCCGCCGCCAACGGACATAGTGAAGTCGTCCAGGCTCTATTGGAGAAAGCCGGGGAAGGAAAAAAGAAAATGGTGGTGAACCAAGGTAGGCTTCGAGCAGTTCTTCTGTTTTTACTGGACGCATTTGACAGCGAATGGCCAAGGCAACACTTCACTCCATTGGGCGGCTCTGAATGGACATCTCGCCGTTTGCAAGATCCTTGTGGGCGCAGGAGCAGACGCTACAGCTGTAAACAAGGCAAAACGCACTCCGTATGATGAAGCATTAGCTCGGCATTTCCAGGAGGTGAATGGAAACTTGAATTTCTTCCCTTGTGAAATCTCCTGCACAGGTTTGCGTCTATTTGGCGAAGTTCTCAGCTCTCGAGACCGGGTCGTAGAGGTTTCCACTGATCAGATCACGTTACTCCATCTTCTTCAATGTGTTGGGTTGTGAATTGATTTATTTCCTCAGAAGAGGGGAAAATGTTAGTCAACGAAATAGTCTAATACCACGTATATAACACTCCATAGGTTCATGCGGAAAAAACTTCCTCCGTCACGAAATATTGAATGTGTTGGCAGCATTCTCGTAGTTCTTGACATTCTTGGGCAAGATGGGCACAACTTTCAAGATGGTTGTTGTGAGAACATAAGACCTGAATTAATTAGAGACTAAGTTCGAGTCAAAAAATCAAATATTGACCGGAATTGTCGTCATGAAGCGGAAGCTCTTCGAATGTTAGGCAGAAAAGACAGAATTTTCCCACGCATGATTACACTCGGTAGAACTTCACCACACCAGCAAGACTCACATAGGTTCCACTAATAACAGAAGCGGCGCCGAAGCCGATGAAACCAAAAGAGAGCCACTCTGGATAGCCCATCGCATTTTTGTGATCCTCCTCAGCTGACTGCTCATCCTTCAATTTACCCACCAGCTTATAGTAAACGATTCTCACACAGGGACCAGCGGGATTGATGTAGCAAATAATCTAGCCTGTCACCGAATCGACCAAATCCAAGACCACTTTCACATCTGGTAGATATCCGGCGACGACTAGAGTGAGCGAAACCGAAACGGAAGTGGTAGCCGGTCCGAACTATCGATTAAGTTTGGTACGACCAGGGATGCCCTTGATGGTATCAATCATAGCTGCCCTTAAGGGGTAGATATTGAGGGGGGATGCAGCCAATACTGCAATACCCATGAGGATGAAAGCAACAGTGACGAAGCTGTTGCCGTGAAGAAAGTCCTCTCGTATGCTCTGGACGACACTCGCTTTCGTGATGCTCCCGTATGTCAAAAACCCACAAGTTCCAACGGCGACATACACCACGAAGCAAAGAACGACCGACGCGAAAGAGATGTGGCGGAGGTGCTTCTCATTGGAGGGGTCCATCTCGCAGTATATGTGGGGAACATTCACTTGGCAGACATAGGCGAAGATATAGGCTGATGCCGCACTGATCACGCCTGTGAGGCCTCTACTGGGCCAGAGGTACGTCGGAACGGTGTTCACAGGGCTGGAGAAGACACCATGCTTGATGAGCAAATAGACGATACAAACAGCGAGGAAAATAACAGACAAGACCCCGGAGAAGCTGATCCACCGAACGTTATTAATGCGTTCGAAGAGCGACAAGGGTAAGAGGAAAATGTAGGTGGCCAGTGCCGAGGAGACTATCCTGTTGAGGAGAAGAACGTCGTACCAATCATGCTCATGGGATGCTTGACAGATCGGACCTTTCATAGCCCTGCTAGGGTCCGCTGTAGCACCAGACTCTTGAACACTACTCTGTGATGACATATAACTGCTGGATGAATTAGATACTTTGCTTCGAAGTCCTTTACTTTGAAGGATGGAACAGAGGCTGAATGCGATCATGTACACATCAGAACACATAACACACAATCTTCAACACCATCTTAATCAATGATTCACCCGCCGATAATGATTAATAATCATTATCAGCGGGTGAATCGAGGGTAGCTTGAAACCGTCAAAATCTTCCGTTTGCGTAATCATCACAGCGTGACACTGCCCACCCACCGCCCTTCGCCACCGTCCCCACAGCGAATGCCGAAGTCTGAACAAGTCACCTTGCTATCCACGGATTGGAATCTGTTGGGCGTGACTTCGTCCATCAAGTGCCACGCTTGACACTTAGCATTAGAGCACTGGGGCCAGTGTTGAAGTTCAGGATCTCCCTCCCGCTCGTGGTACTTGACCATGTTAGAAACAAGTTGTAGGGGTGAGATGTCTCTTGTAAAATGTCGACCTCCATAACCAGCGACTTCTACCACGTCGCAGCTGAGGAAAAGTTACTTCACAGACTTTGTAGGGACCACAGAACGATATGAAGTGAGCTTGTCTTTCGCTGGACAATAAATAAGGAACATGTCACCTTCCCTGATATCCGTACCGTTGGAGGCAGATTTACTATAGCGGCGTTGGAGTGCTGATTGTTGCTCTTCTCGATCCTTGATCCAGAAATCCACATGTCTGCTGAAATTAATCCGCCAATTGTCTTGTTCCACCCTGTGAAGCTTGTTCAGATACTCGACGGGCCGTCGCGCCATCAAGGTCTGAATGCTCTCCCGTAACGCAAGGATTCAACGAAGCTGGTTATAGGTCATAATATAGTCAGATCATAGCCATAGGATCTGAGACTTCCCGAGGTGATGGTTGTCAGCACTTTTATCCTGTGTATCCGAGGAAGCCGGGTACAAAGTTCACTGTAAGCGATTTTCAATTTTCCGCGCGGAAAATGGTATACTTTGTCATCGAGGTGAAAACGGAAAATCCCTACCCCGTGATAAGATCGCGGAATATTAGAATGTGTTCGTTTATGGGGTTGACTCTGTTATGTATTTGATGTGGCTCACCGTTGATGCTAGTGGGACTCGTTATTGACAACGAGAGAAATATTCAGGGGAAAACTTTTATTCCGACAGGCGGGGCCTTCGCCACGGAGATACCTTGACACCGCTGACGACCAAAAAAGGATGCTGAGTCAGCGGCGCTGGGTGTTCGCACACCTCGGATCGCGTTCACATGCTAAGACCCAAGGCTTGATTATCGAGCCCGAGGCTTGGGCTTGAAGCCCCTTAAACAATATAAATAGCTCACTTACTCCCCGTCGCTTTCCTCCAAAACGAGATACCCAGATTGCAGCATAAGGTTATATTCATGCTCCTCGTCAATAGGGTCACATTCCTCGTCGGTGTTCCCTTCGAAAAGTACATCGTCGTACACGAAGTCTTCCTCATCCGAGGAGCTAGCGACTGGTATACCGTCCCTATCCCTTTTGGTGGCCCTTTTAGCAGCTACCTTCTTACGACGAGGCTTTATTGTTGACCACACTTTCACCACCTCCTCGCAGGCAGGGGTCGCGTTTATGGACAGCGACATAGCGGCATCGAGGTTGACACCCTGCAGTCTATTCCTAGTTTTTGAGCGGATGCGCTGCAAAGCGCTGAACCCACGTTCAGCTTCACAGGAGTCAACCGCCACGGAGGACTCGATTTCCAATACCAGTCTGTAGATCTTCAGCTGCCTGTCGTCAGGCTTCTCTTTGAGCTCTATATCAAGAAGGAGCCGCTCATTATAAATCCTTCTCACATGGGCCTGCCTAGAGAGACGACGGTTGGTCTTCTTGAATGCTGTGACGAAATCCTCCTCGGAGCAGCCATAGTGCCTCGAATGGATAGACCAGTGACTATGCGCGGCCCTGGTGATCAGCTTTTTCGAGAAAACGCTACCAACCAGAGGGTTACCAGCAGCCTCAGAATCCGGATTCAAGAGCCTGAAGTCGTGTACCTGACATGTGAAGCCATGTCAGCCGCCCAAGAGACACAGGTAGTACCTGTGCCTCTTGGGCGGTTGACATGGCTGGGATGCGTGCGCGCAAGCGCTTGCGCATGAACACGGCGAATTTTCTGGCATCATCAGACTCCATGTCGTCGATCAAGTCGCCTAGCGCAGCATCCGCACGTTGGTAGTGCAAAAATACTTCCCAAAGGTTCATATTTGCTTTCTGTAGCCTAATCGAGAGTAAGTAAACTATTCGCATGGTATCCAACACTCCCTCGAAGTCGTTTGACTGCTCACCGAGCATTCGAAGAATAACAGCAGCTTCATTGGAGAACCGACGTGACAAATTCGATGTGAGAAATTCCAGGACTGCGTGTCTTCCGAGCCACAGAGATTTCATGGCCGAATATCGAGAGAGCCACCTTGTCTCGCACCACGATCTCGGCATATGCAATCGCTCGTACTGTTTGGAAATATTAATCAGCTCCTCGCGATTCGAAGTTGATCTGTTGAAAAAGAGATAGCTGTTCCTTACGCAAGCTTCCACGTCTGCTGCTATACGTAGGACATCACCATCTGTACAGGTCTTGGCATCGAATACGTCGCCCGTGGCGAGGTTCACCCTATGCACTATACAGTGCTCTTTTTTCAAAGGGCCCCCGCACCAGTTTTCCAGTAAGACACCCGCACCAGACTTAGCTCCCACCATAGCTGATGCCCCATCCGATGTGACCGAGATAAGATCCTCCTTCGGCAACTGTAAAGATTCTAGCAAGCCCACAGCAGCATTCTTTATGGCTTCACCTGATCCATCACCGTGCATATCTCGGAGACCGACATATCGTGTCTGACCCTTCGATTTGATGTAGAGAATGATTTGTTTGGTGACCGAGATATCGGTTGATTCGTCTACTATTATGCCAAATTTATGGCCACTAAGCCAGACCTCAATATCCGCCAACTGTATGGAATGTGCCGCTTGGATGAACTGCCAACCGTAATTAACAGAGCGCCAGTGCTTGGTGACCTTGAGCCCATGTTTCTCAGCCCATTGTAAGAAAGCTTCGGATTTGAGGATCGCGACCTCTTCGATAGCCAAAGTGAGTGCTAGGTCGGCCAAGGGATTAACAAGGAGGAGTTCTTCGGCCATGCGACTAGCCTCAGTAGCCTCATTTTTTGCAATGATCTGCTTGAAGGCTACGTGTACAGGGAGCTGCTTGAACTTATGCTTGCCATTCTGGATGGCCTTCTCATGGTCGGTCAGATCAGATTTCTTGAACCTCGATGCATCACAAGTCCTCCAAGCTGCCCATTTGCCGGAGGCTTCATGGTCCAAGCAC